AATAACAGGCAAAAGAACATTATTACAACTGAAGTTAATAATAATTCATATTATCTTATACTCAATCCATATTCAAATCTTTTCCAAACTGTCCTTTAATAAACCTGGATCCAATTCAGGATCACTCATTACATCTAGGCATTTCCAGGAAATTCTCTGTAATTCTAAAACAGTTCTTTTTCAAGATTCTGGCTTGTTGATGGAAAGGTTGTCCAGAAAAATATTCCACTTTCTGGATTAGTCTGGTTCCTTCTTTGTGGTATTATTTAGATACATTTCCTGGAAATTAAAAGTTGGCTCTAAGAGCTTCATTTTGAAGTATACTAGTTAAATATTTGTAGCTAGAATTCATCCTACATAATATTCACATATTGTATACATATTAGGTATCATATTAGGAGACACAACACATCCAGTTGTCTTTCCATTAATGATGCAAAAATTGCTCCCCTCTGCCACTGTACAGCTAAGTTACACTTCCCACATTAGCCAGTATTTTCTTAGCATTTATCCTGTGCCAAGTATTCATCAGTGCTCCAGCCATACTGGCTACTCCACCCCTATACCTGTGTTTCTTCGAAGATAGAGAAAGCCCCCCAAAACTGTGAAAAACAGTGTGATGGAAATTTCCTAATAAAAAGCCAATCTAAGCACAAAAGCTTTGATAATCAGCCAGATGTTATGATGCACACCTGTAGTCCCAGCACTTGGGAGGCTGAGGCAGGAGGATCACTGCAAGTTCAAGGCCAGCCTGGGCTACATAGTGAAACCCTGGCTTGCTCAAGTTAAAGAAGTAAGTAAAAATAAATAGGCAGGCAAGCAAGCAAATAAGCAAACAGCAAACAAGCAATCTTTGATAATCTGCCAGGCTGGGTATAAAGTCATGGTTAGATTGAGGAAAACTAATCACAGAAGGAGAGTAAAGCTTAAAAACTATTACTGTATTTCTAGCAATATATATTTTGCAACTGTAAATCTTTGTACTGATATAATATTTTTAGTAAACAGTGCAAGCATCATGATGTGTTCAGAGTACTGGCTTCATATCAGACAGGCTTTCAGATCTGACTCTGCACAGCTAGTTAATCCCATGACCTTGGGCAAAACTTCTCTGTGTATCAGTCTCCTCAACTGTAGCACATGGAGCCTAGCATTTGACACAGACATTTGTAATAAAGATTGCTGTTTTCATGAAGAAAATTATAATACGTTTTAAATTTGGGCTGTACATTTACCAACTAGGAAATGTAGTTTGAGAGGTAGAAATACCTGCTATCAAATGGTTTGTCTTAGGGCTTGGGGATAAAGTTCAGTGGTAGAACACTTGCCTAGCATGTGTAGGCCCTGGGTTCAATCCCACCACTGCAAAAAAAACCCAATTAATGTAGACATAATTTTTAAAAACTTAATAAGCTGTGCATCTGTTCCAGTATATTTTTCTCAAAGCTTATTTTATAATTGTTCTCATAAGAACTGAATTTTATTTGTGACACAGAGGTACCTACTCCGCTGTCATTCCATAAAAGTAATAGTCACTCATATCCCAGGAAGTGTTCTACATACGATTACATGTATTAACTCATTAAATACTCAGCCGGTCCTGAGTATTACCACAGTTGTTACGGCCACTTTATAGATGAGCAAATGGGCTAGAGCCGTAACTTATTGAAGGTCATATCACTTAGCAAAGGTTCAAAAGAATACGTGCTCTGCCTCCAGAGTTCAGGCACCTAACCAGCGCGTGCACTGCCTCTGTAGTACTTTCTGAATAATGTATTTTACTTTTTAGAATAAATTTTATTTTATCTCATTCCCCCCTCAGCCCCCCCTTTACATGCAAAAGCTTTGTTTCCATTTTTTCCTTCTATTTTCATTTTTTCTT